GTTATAAAGCTGATTGGCCCATTAGGTCAGGTTTCTTGTAACGTATATTAACCCATTATCATTATCTATGTTAGCCACATGGCTCAGTACCTTTTCCAGCGGGGCAGCTTACATCTTTCCTCTCCAGTGGTCTGGGCAGAACTGGCAGAGGGAGCTTCCTAGAATACTCCCAGTCTCTTTGCTCCACCTCTACTTCCTGTCTGGCTTTCCTGCCTATACTGCCTGCCTGGCCAATCAGCGTTTTATTAAAATATGATTGACAGAATACAGATAATTCTCCCGCACCACGCCTTCCTCTCTGAAGCCATCTTACCAGCCAAGGATCTAGTTTTCATGCTTTTTGCAACCCTGCTGCTCAGCTTCCCCAGTCTGGAGATAAGAAGGAACTCCTGTGATATTATCAAACTTCCCTAGTTGGGTGGACACTCCCTGCCCTGTGGGAAAACCCTAGCTGAGGGAGGTGTGGAAGCAGGATGCGTGGAAGACTTGTGCAGGTGGTGAAACGTCTGTAATGTGGTTCTCTGTACAAGCCTGGTTCTCTGTCTGGGTCTATTCTGAGGAGTGGAGAGGGGAGGTGCTAGACTACATGGCAACAGGTCCCTTGAGGTACTCTGACAGGCACACACACACACACGCACACACACACACACACACCTCTAAGACTATGAACACTGAAGACAGACCGAAGGCTGCAGTGCCCTGCTTTATACTCAGGCCAGGAACTGGTCAGTGATGGGAAACGACAGAGAAATGGGAGGATCCCCAACAACAGGAAGCAAGCAGCAGAAACAACATCACAATCTTTTTATTCTGGTTTCTGCAGGGCCCAGCCTCTGGGAGCTCCTGCTCGGAGTACTGTGAAGGCTGAGTCACAGGGAGGAGCATGCAGCTGTAGATAGGAAGAGGGCTAGGGGTGGGTCCCTTCTGATTGCTGCCAAGTTACCTTCAGCAGAAAAGGCTGTGGGAAGGACGTGAGGAACCAGAGAGACTTGGGTCCTCAGTTACTTCAGGGCTCTCAGAGCCTCCCCTCTCCTCCACCCCCCACATCCCCCCACCCCTCGCCCAGCCTGTTTGGCTGGAAACAGACCACAATATCCCTTAATGCTTGGAGGCTAAATCTGAAGGCCTTTGCCGATATGGAGAGGCCAACCCTTTCCATCCCAAGCTGGACTGGAGTTAGGCTTCCTAATCATTATTTTAGATCAGACTAGATCCTCTTCTCCATGCTCTGAGCTATTGGGACATGCAGCCCAGAGGGGGGCAGCTTTTCTTTAGTGTTGGTCTAGTGGAAATTCTTTTCAAGGTTGCCAAAAATAGTGGCAAAAAGCAAGCGACTCCAGGAGGAAAGCTCGGCCCCACCATAGTCCAGGGCTGAGCTGTGGGAACAGGCCATACACTCATCACGCCCACTTAAGATCTCCATTGTCTGGGCTGCAGCCAGGACCAAGGGAGATACAGTGAGCAAATTAAACCCAAATGGCAAGGAGACTGTGATGACTTGACTCCACTGTAAATGACAGGTTAAAAGGGGGCCGTAGTAACAGGTACTGCCAGGGTCTTCTGAAATTCTGGCATCAAGGTTGTTTTGCCTTTTAGTGCCAAGTACAGAATAGTCATGTGCCACATAGTGACATTTCAACCAACAACAGATGGCATGTACAATGGTGGTCCCATAAGTTATATTGCCTAATAGCATGGTAGCTGTCTTGGTTTATGTAAGATGCTTTGATGCTTGCACTAAGAAGTTGCCTAATGACACAGTTCTCTGAATGGATTTCCAGAGTGGAACTGGGCTTCTTACTTATTGGTCCAGACAAGGCCTGACCTTATTTTCCATGCTCTGGGCCATGAGTGACCCTATAGACTTGTCTTTCTATTACATATGCAGTGCATGACAGCATGTGTGTCTTTACTCTGCTGGTTGGAAGGAGACGTGGCATGCTGACATCAGAGCCTGTTGCCAGTTCAAGTTTTGTGCCTCAAGGTTGCTTAGTTTTGGCTCTTGGGTAGTGTTGGCTGGATGGGCCCCTACAGACAGTTTCTGTGGAGCCTAACTCCTGGCGCGAGTGCTCTCTGCACTGCTGGAAGCTGTGCTGCCTACAATGACTGCTGTACTGCTGTGCTTTGGGCTAAGGCATGGGGCAGCCTTGGTATTCATTTCCCTGGGGAGTGGCCTCTTTCCAGGCGGTAAAATTCTGTGCTTTCTGTTTGGGTGATAGGAAGGGGGGAACTCCAAGGCTTGGCCACTTAAACAAGGTCCAGGTGACCTCCCATAGGGAGCACTAGGGCTGGAAAGGCAAGAGTCTACCCTGCCAGCCCACCGCTTGGGCTGGGGGCAGAAAGAGGCAATGTATTCATGGCTTCTGCTGCAGCTATCCTCAGAGGAAGAGCACTTGAGAGGATCAGTACCCAGGAATGAGTAAACTGCTCCATCCCTGGGATACCACAAGGGGTCACTGCCTCAGGGGAGGAGGCCAAGGAACAGACCTGGAGAGGTTGTGCAGGGCTAAGCCAACCTCAGGAACTCTGACCCTGAAGCGCTGCTGTGTCATCACGATGCCCCTTCATCTAATTTTGAACATGTGGACGAAAACTGCTGGAGGAAAACCAGGCTTGGGACAAGCAGTCTTCAGGGAAGCATATGTGTAACTCAAGCCTCCAAGCCTCCCTTGGTTGGAGTTCAGGATGGATGGTGTTTGGGAAAAGCATCGATCTTAATTGTTGGCAGCCAAGATGGAAAAGACAGAAACATTTTCTCATACCCTCATCAGAGCCAGACATTAATGTTTGCACTTGGCAGGGTTTCAGACAGTCACAGTGATAGGAAGGCTTGAATAGGGATGAGTCTCACTAGGTGATGACAGTGCACCTCTGTGCACATGGCAGGGGTTCCGGGGGGCCACTTCAGAAAGAGAGAGCATGGACACTGGGGTTGGGGTGAGCCTCTGTAGCAGTGGATTAAGGGAGCAAGGGACCCCCCTTTGGAGCACTAGATGCTTATGGGGAAGAGGCCAGCTGTTCTGTCTGCTTTTTGCTTCTCAGGATTATTGTAAGTTGGAACCCCCATTCTTTGTTGGGGGTAGAGTCCCGTGGGCCCTCTGCATCAGGCCCCCACCAAGGAAAACCACTGTTCTGGATACAGAGGTGCTCCCAAATAGGCCTGGTCCTAGTGTGGATGAGCTGTGGGGCTGGTTCTGCAAACTTTGGGACCCAGCCAACCTGTGGTCTTCTGCCCTTCAACTGCAGGCGCAAGAAACTCAGAACAAACAAACAAACAAACAAACAAACAAATCCCCCACAGCTCCAAAGTGGCAAGCATCATCTGGATCTGTAAAGGCCCATGGAGCAAGATGGGCTCCCAGTACCTACAGCTGGGGAGTGGCAGGAAAGCTCTGTTAAGTTTTCAAAGCCCAGAGATGATCTCTGTCCAAACTGTCTTGTGAGGTTCAGCAGCTCCCAGCCACAGGGATAGATGATGACTCACTGGGAGAGTGAGCAAGAGACCTTGTATTTAACATGCTTTAATCTTCTCAATGGAAAACCCCAGGCCTGGCTGCTACAGACAGTCCTTGAGCCCAGGAGCTCGCTCTTTCTTTCTTTCTTTCTTTCTTTCTTTCTTTCTTTCTTTCTTTCTTTCCTTCCTTCCTTCCTTCCTTCCTTCCTTCCTTCCTTCCTTCCTTCCTTTCGTCTAGATTGAATAATGGGCCCCCTTACCAATCAGTTTGGGGGACATGGCTGAGTAGTTTTCATTGTTATTTTTGAGACCAAGTCTCACTTGTGTAACTTACTATTTAGAACAGGCTGGCCTTTAACTCATAGAGATCTACCTGCCTCTGTCCCCCAAGTGCTGGGATTAAGGATATGTACCATCACGCCCAGCTTTAAGTGGTAGTTTTTAAAAGCTGTGGGTTTTACAATGAACCCCAAAATGTATCTCCTATCTGTATCATCTCAGTCCTAAATAATCTCTCTCCAGCAGTTTACCACCCTGCTTCTGGGGCAGGCAGTTCCTACAAACAGACCACCCAGGACTCTAGGCAAGGCCCTGGCTTCAGTTCCCACTTCACCTAAGCATGTCAACACTGAGTGATGGGCTCCTTCTTTCTAACCATCTACTTTAGTACAAGGGCTTTGAGCAGTGGAGATATTGCAAGCTTCTGCATGACTTGGCTCAACCCTCTCTTGAAGAACCCTTCGTTGTCAGAACTGGCTATACCTAAGTCATCTGGTTGAAAACAGAAACCCAGAACCTGGAGCCCTAGGTCTAAGGGCTGACCCCCGCCATGTACTGACTTGAGAGCTTCGGAACTGGGTAATGGGCTTGGGTAAAGCTTGCTGGCCAACCTTGGTGCACCTATGGCTCCCTTGCTCTCAGGCTAGCTCCAGCTCCTAGCACGGAGGGGAAGACACGAGTTAGCAGCAGAGAAGCAGCAGCTGAGGCTACACCTCCACGATGGGCAGAAGGACAAACTCTGCCCCCTTAGGGTGCCGACTAGGACTTCTTGACAGTTGAGATACAAAGCTTCACAAGCCTTGGCTGTATCCTCTTCTGTTTCAGTACGACTGCTTAGGGATTCTGCAGGGCTCCTCCAGGCTATGGATGATGCTGGCCGGCCCTCCACAACGCCACATTTCTATGTCTGTGGTGGAGCTGGGCTGGGAAGCAGGAAAAGCCTGCTTTTCTCTCCTCTCCCATGAGATTGTATCCTCGTCGACCTCCGTGGCAGCCAGTGAAGCATCTCCCACAGAGGGCTGCGATTTCTGTCAGTGCATCTGTCCCATTCGGGTCCCTAGAGCTTTGGACCATGCGATACCATGTAGGGGCCAGGAGTCTCACCTTGGCTTTCCTGGTCTGCTAACGGCTTGTGAAGTTGGATGACCTAGTTGAAAAGTTCCTAGAATTCTGGGTCTCTGGGAGAGGCTGTCTCCACTTTTTCCAGTGAGAAACCCACAAGCTAGTTTCCTTTTCTGTCACGAGGAATTAGAATTTAAACACAAACTTCAGGGATGATTTTTCACTGTTCTCCCACAACACACCTGAGGGACACACAGACACTTATGAGCAACAGCGGCTCATCACGGAAGGGGGTTTCAATGTGGGCAGGGGGCCTCTGGGCATCTCCTGGAGGGGAGGAAGCGAGGCTAGTCTGCACCTTTCTTTCTACTGGAATTCAGAACTGGCCAATAGAAAGAGTGAGACGAGACCATCTCATCTACACCAGGGGGTTCACAAAGGGATTTTGGTCCTTTTTCATCGAAAAAAGAACCAGGAGTTTGAAGGCATGGCTATCTAGGCATGTATGTGGCTGCATTTGCATGCGCACATATGTACGCATGAGGTGGCAGGTAGTTTCATGATGTGAGGGCAGGAGATGATGCCACAGCTCTCAGGGCTTCTCAGTGTGGCATTACATATACTGCCTCTGTTGTCAGGGGAACAGTGGCTTCAATGCCATAGAACTTAATGACAAATTAAGATGCTGGCAGTGCCCCATTCCTGTGAGTCTCAGTGCCAGAGGTTGGTTGAGGAAAGTGAAAGGAGAGGAGGGGGAAGGTGCCACCGTCCCAGAACTAATCTCTGCCCCACACTATCCTGGGGGTTTCAGGTGAATCGCTCCACTGTTAGGGCGAGCAGCCAAGATGTAGATGACATTCTCTCTGAGGAAGGTGGGCCAGTCCACAGATCTGCAGAGAGAGAGAGAGAGAGAGAGCGAGAGAGAGAGAGAGAGAGAGAGAGAGAGAGAGAGATTTGCCAGCCTGGGTAGAGAGCCTGAAGTCCCATCAGACCTGATCCTGGTGGCAGGCTGGCCTGGCCTGGACGAAACTCGGGAAAGCCTGCCTCATGTCTAAATATGGTCAGGGTGGGCTATGCCACAAAGCTAGCAGATCAGCTGTCTAGCCCTAGAGACCTGGGGTCAAATGTGTCCTTCTGGGGCCTGGTTTCTAGGGTGGACGCTTGCTCTTCTGGAGTGGAAGTGGTAATGCCTTCTTTTATCTATAAAGGGTGTTGTGGCTGTATACAGAAGAGAGGAGTGTCAGCTCACCTGGACTCCTGCTCTGTGGGCAGCGGGGTCTTATCTTCACTCTTGCTACTGCTGCCGGCTGGGCTGCTGTCTGCTATGGGACCCACGTGGCTGATGCTGCCAGGCACAAGAACATACAGTTAGGAGCGCGAAAACAAAAGGCTGTGAGCCTCCCTCCTAAAATCCGGTGAACCCATGGACCTAGACACGCCTGTCCAGGCTTTCGGACATGGGGCAGCACAGTCTAGGACAGAGACTGCCCTACGTGCTGCCTCTACCTAGTCCATAGGGGGACCTTCTGCCCACAGGAGAAGCACATGCTATACCAAGGGCGTCCAGATGGAACAAGCAGAAGGCCAAGAGGGTAGGACTGGTGGGGAGCAGACCTGACACTACAGGAGGACGCCTCTGCCAGGCGTTTGCAGAACCAAGAGTGCCGGGCATGGTGGCACTCTGCCTCACTGATGGTGCTCCCGCTGCCCCGTGCCAGGAAGGTGGCCCGGGCGCGTTCCCTCTCCTTGACGGTGAGAAGCCTCAAAAGAGAGTTCTAGGGAAGAAGAGCTAAGTTAACGTTGCGAAGGTGAAAATTGCACTTCCATGTCCAAACCTCTGCTGCCCTCCTTAGATGTTCCCAGAGCCTTTTTGATAGCCTGACAATTTTAGGGGAGTCCAGCGAAAGCCGATCTTCCATCAGTTTCCTCAGCCCTGGTCACTGGTCATCTATCACTGGATGGGCCTGGCACCCTTTGCTGATCTCTGCTCTTGTTTAGACAGTTCCCAATGCTCCCCTAATGTGCCCAGCATGCGCCTGAGGCCTCTGACCCCCATGGACATCCATTCCTGCCGCTCCTCACCTGCGGACGCAGCTGCTGCAGCAGTCGGAGAGATTCATGGGACAAGAAGTCGGACCACTCTACGTGGCCTCGGTGTTCAGGGTCCAAGGCTGCAAACTGGCGGGCTGCCTGTTCCTCTTGCTCATCGCTCAGGGCCCTGCTGCTCTCCCCTCGCTTCGCTGCTTGGTGGCGATAGCGCACGAAGTCCTCCAGGGTCAGGGAGCAATCTGTGGGAGGCATCAGTGCTGGCCATGCCCACCCTTCCTCAGCCCTGGACACCTTCACCCCCCTCTAAGGCACCCTCAGTGCCCCCACCGTCCCGGTTCTCGTCGGGTTATACTTCCCATAGCCAGGAGAGCTCAGGGGAGCTGTGGGGGAAGGCAGTGCCTCTGATGGCCATAACCCAGGAACGAGGACTCACTCACTCCTACTCCCCAAATCCCCAAATTCTCTTTTCACCGTTCATCCCGGAAAGGAAGAAAGGGGATGCGGCGGGCCCCTCCTTCTCCGCAGCAGCTGCCGGCCTTACCAGGGATGACTTTACACCGCTGAAAGGTCTCTGTGAGGCTGTACATCTCCTCCTCGGTGAGCAGCAGGTTAAGGTTGTCCTGGGGGAACGTGAAAGCGAAGTCAGTGGCCAGACAGGTCAGCGACAAACGAGAAGCCCTGGGTCAAGTGGGATGGGGACGTTCCCCCCCCCCCGAAACAGATACCAGGACCCCCGATCCCAGCCCCCACTCACAGTTAAGGAGACTAAGGCCCTAGAAAAAGGGAAGATTTGCTCTGAGCTGTCTGAATTTGGGGAAGAGTCCTCCCTGGAATCCAGATATCTGGCTAAGTCCCTTTAGTAAATACTGCTTTCAAGTTACCCCGAGCAAACAGGGATGTCACAGAAGTACCCCATGAAGCTGCTGCAGGCATAAAGAGACACTGAATACCTGGCGCTGTCGATCCCTGTCCATCCTAGCCCAGATGCTCAGCACGGATTTATTAGAAGCACTGGCTGTGCTTAATGCACATTTTCATCATAAAAACAAACAGCCCTGCTTCTAGGGGGCTATGCAGCTTTAAGTGGTTCTAGAACGGTTCCGAAATGTTCCTAAACAAAGTGAGTTTCTATGCTGTCATAGAAGTTGTAATTACGAGGAAGCACTGAGAACTTATCCTGTTGGCAGTACTACGAAGTCCTTAAATTATGAAAGTTCTTTGTGGAGTGGTGTGCGCCTTGAATCCCAGCACGCGGGAGGCAGAGGCAGCCGAATCTCTGTGAGTTTGAGGCCAGCCTGGTCTACAGAGCAAGTTTCAGGACAACCAGGGCTACACAGAGAAACTCTGTCTCGGAAAGCCAAATAAATAAGTAAATAATAAGAAAATAAAACTGAAAAAGATTAGAGAATAAAAGTCCTTTGCAGTAGTTGGTTAGCTGTTCTCCTGAACTGTCAGCCAAGAGCACATGCAGGTATCACATGGGTACCCATCTAAGGGTTTCCCCGAGAACCCGATGAGTCTTTCAGTAGATACCTACTGAGCATTTGGCATGTTCTGGGCACAATGGCTGTGTGCTCGACACTGTGATATTTGGTGTGGCTGCTGCATGTGTCCGCGAAGGGGGTGCAAGGAGAAACAGAAATAGATAAGGAACTGTGACGCTTCTCAGATGGCCTGGGCTGAGACCCTTAGCTTAGGCGTTTGTTCTAGGACAACGGGAAGGCACGGAAGGGTGGCTGTCATTGTTAGATCTCTGACTGCTATAGGGAAATGGTTCAGAGGGACAAAATCTGGTGGTTCAGCGAGCAGTTAAGTGGCTGTTGTAAAGGAACGGGTAAGAAAAAATGAGTGTCTAAAACCAGAGATGAGCAGAGGGAGGGGCAGAGAGGTGAGGAGTGTCAGTAGCCGAGTCAACAGAACCTGGTGGCCCAGCGGCTGTGAGGGATGAGGGCCAGGGAAGAGCTGGGACTGGGAAACCGGAGAATGACATTACTGTTCCCAGAGGTAAGGGATGGAGAAAGAGCAGCTGTGGGCAGAAAGGCAAGTTCATTTGGGGGCAGTCTGAGCATGAAGTACCGGTGAGACAACAAGATGGGGAAGCCCCCGAGGGAGGTAGGAAATTTAAGTCTGGACACAGATACGGGAATCACTAATGTTTAGATAGTGAGAAAGACGATGGGACCCCCAGGAACACAGTGCCCAGAATGGAAACAAACCATTGCTGTTGAGAAAGAATGATCAAAAGCGGCCGGAAGAGACTGGGAGTCCTGGATACCAAGCAAAGACTGTGGCAGGCTGTGGCAGGCTGTGGGAGGTGGTATTAAGAGTGGTGATATTTATTATTTGTGAACATTTTGTCTAGTTTCCATCTAGTGATACATTCTAGAAAACAAATGACAAGAGAAAGAGAAGGAAATAAGGAAGCGTTAGATACTTTCTTCAAAGACACCTGAAAAGACATCTTTGGACTTGACCATTAAGAGATTTTTGATGACCTCAGTAAAAGTCCATTCAGCAAGGAGCTGAACGCAGAGGTCAGGCTGGAGGGGCGGAGAAGTCGGGAGACAGCTCTTAGGAAGTATGGTTGTAGATGGAGGGAAGAGAAAGGGATGAACTCAGAGGAAGTCTCTGTAAGAGGCTGGTAGAGGTGGTAATGGCAGGACCTTAGCAGAGCTGGGAAGCAAGCAGAGGATTCACAGGAGACAGCAAGGAGACACGCGCTGGCTGACGCAGGCCTGTGCTGGCAGCACACCGTAGGCAGGGTTGCTGTACATGCTGGCGCTGATGGCAGTGTATGTATGTAAGGGTCGGGGAGAGGAGGGGAGGGAGACAAGGATGGACAGGACAGCAGAGCAGGGTGTGTATTCTGTGGTGTATTTCAGAGTGGGGTACGCAGTAGCTGGAAATAACTCCCAGACTTGGTTTTGTGGATCAGCCATAGGTGGAGAGTCAGAAAGTAGCACACGTTTCCTTTCTGCAGGCAGAGGAAGACGGCCAGCAGCTGCTCCGTGCACTGAGTCAGAGGCTGGTGAAGAATCCGCAGGATGGCACAGCAGGAAGGAAAGACTGGGAGTCTACTCAGGAGTGGTGATGAACGGTTGTGAAGCTGGCTTTCAATGGAAACCTAAGATCCTTTCTGCCATTAAGAGCTGGAAGGCATTTATACAGAGTTGCAGCGTTCTGAATCAATACAGCTTTGCTACTTAATTCACATAACCATCATTTCAGAGATGAAGAATCAAAGCTCCCAATAGGCAGCAGGTCAAGCGAGGACATCAAGACTGAGTGTTTCCCTGAGACAGAAGCTACCTCCCCTGGAAGCACGCTGGTCAGGACGCCAGGTGGTTTTTCCAGGTAAGTACGAGGAACAACAGCTACAGACTTCTAGAGAAGCTAACACTTCCCTGTGCAGGACTGCTCGCTCCTCGTCAGTTAGACCTGTTCTTTTTGATTCCCAGCTGAGGGTGGTTTGCTCCCTCTGGAACACACTTGGCAAGGTCCAGCATATTACAACCGGATCTGTGCGCTGCTGGCATGTGGTTTTTTTTTAAGTGTCATGTAATGCACCACACAACAAGGAATTGATTATCTATCTACCTAGGACCCTTGCATGCACTGTTAGAAAACCCCTTAGGTCACGGCTTAGAAACAGTCATTTTTAAGACTGGGCCTCTGGAAAGATGCCAAGTTTTCCTGCCGTCCTGCAGTCCAGACTCACACAGTAGTAGCAGCTCCAGCCGGTGTCGGTGTGGGCCAACTCTGTCACCTCCGCTGCACTGTTTCCTTGGAGGTAGCCCATGCGGCGCAGACAGCCGTCGTGGAAGACCCTGGTGCAGACGCGGCATGGGAAGAGGCTCTCAGCGGTCCAGACTTCGCAGATATCACACATCTCATCATTGACAACCTGGCCGGAATGAACAGGATTTGAAAGTACAGAGAGCAAGATCCTACGGGCTGCTGTGTGGGACTGGGTCTCTCTGGAGCCACGGTGAAGGGTAAGAGTGTTCTTCCTGGTGGATGAGAACCAGGAAGCTCTTCTAGATGCTTAGGGCCCTGTTACTGTGTTTCTGGGATACAACTGGCACTTCATAGAAAATAATCTGTGTGAGTGATTGTCCCAAGCACTATATGACATCAACATCCCCAGCGGTCTTAATACTATCTATATGCCATAGAACCCCCAGTCATTGTAACTTACCTCAGTTCCCCTTTCTAATTTCCCAAGGTCCCCTACAAGGGTTAGTACCTTCTGTGGTTGAGAATTCATAGATAGGATTAGTTCAAGCTTTGTCATGCCGCCATTCCTTCCCACTCAAAAGTCCAAGTCTTTCACTATGACTAATCCAAGCTATACTTAGTATTTTATTCTTATGAAATATTGCTTCCCTTTGTGGTACTGGGGATAGAGAGACTTGAACACGCAAGGCAAGCACTCTACAAAGAGACACATTTAAACCCGTCTTGTGGGGCAAGGACTGTTCTGAACCCAGCTCCCTCTTCTGGTTCCAAGTCTCACCTCAACCACACCTAGTTTTCCCTGTCCTGTTCTTTGATCCTTATAAGGGCGAAGACAGGGGAATCCTGCCTTAACGGAACACTCACAGGCTCCCGGGGATCCAGGCAGATATCTGGAGGTTTGTCATCATCCAGCTTCCGGGTGGGCCGGATGAAGGCAGGAGGTGTGAATCGACTGGTCCTGTCAAACTCCTCAGGCTCAACTCCACGCCCATCCCGGAGCCGCTCCCAGGCTGCACGGTTGATGCTGCTCTCTTCCTGAACCACAGGGGCACTGGTCTCTGCCTCTTTTTCTTCCTGTACTTCCTGAACAGAGCCCTCCACAGTGCCGCGGCGGGACCCTGGTAGCTCACCCCCACGTCTGATGGAAGGCCTGTCCCGTAGTCCATCCTTGAAGGCCGACACAGCCAGGCTCACCTTCTGCACCTGCTCTACGGTCTGCCGCTTGGACATCAGCACCCCCATGGCTCTGTGGACAAAATCAGTTTTATCCATTCACGGAAAAGGCAGGTACTATTAAATAGTGCAGCAAGGCATACTGGAAAGGGTACAAGCTAAGACGTCAGAAGGCCTTGCTTGGTCTGCTTCTGACTGGCTGTGTGATTCTGGTTTTGCCATCTGTGGAAGGAGGCATATCTGTGCAGCGCACTTCACAGGGGTGCCATGAGGATAACGTAAGAAAGTGAACTTGGGTAGGGGATATAGCTCCACATTAGAGAGCTTTGTGCCGAATGCTTAAGGCCCTGGGCTTGACCTCAGCATCACACACACACACACACACACCCCACATACAAGAAAGATGAAAAATAGTGTTTAATTAAGTAGAGTGTACTATAATATGTGGTAACTGTCTTCCTTGTTATGGAGAGCTGGTCTAGCTCGGGGCACTAGGTCTCTGCGACTCTGAGGTGGTTGGGGTGGTTGAGACTCTAGACCTCAAGTTTTTCATCTTCTAAAGAAGACTTAACATATTTCAGGTTTTCTGATTGTAAGAAAGCTCCTCCAGTGAGCACTGTGCACGGTTCACCCCAGGGTCCATCCTTATCGAGTGCTGGCTAACTTTCAAGCCAGAGTGAATGAATTTCTATTCTTAGAAGACTCCTTAATCAGGCAGCCAGGAAGCTCTGTCACCTCCACGTATGTGGTCAAGGCCACAAACACCCCTCGATCCCCTCATGTGGGTCTCCCACTCACAGACAACAGGCCCAGTCAAGCACAAACACTCCTCGATCTCCTCATGTGGGTCTCCCACTCACAGACAACAGGCCTAGTCAAGCACAAATACCCCTCGATCCCCTCATGTGGGTCTCCCACTCACAGACAACAGGCCTAGTCAAATTCTATGGTAGGTGCCTTTGCTCTTCTAAGACTTTATTACTGCTAACGCTCACATTTTCACCTTTGCTTTTAGACTCTCCAATAAGGCCCATAACTTTTCACAAGTTAAAAGGAACATTATCCCTGTTCCCTGCAGAACCACAGTACAGCGTGGGAGAGTAAGGACACGACACAGTGCATTGCAAAGCTGGTCTACGCCTTCCTACTCTCAGAAGCCTCACTGGAAGATGGCCGGGGAATGTCTGCTCTAGCAGAACAACAGTCCACGTTAACCTTGTGCTCAACACACGCTAATCAAGGCTTATTGAATGGTGCCACGTTCACGTCACTAAGTACCCACCATCAGAAACGGAGACGGATAGCACCACACCACACACGCTTTTAAACGTCAGACTCCAAGGAAGAACTCCAGGACGACTTAGAGAGAGCTGAGACAGGACAGACAGACCGACTATCCATACAATGGAATAGCCTTCTCTTACAAAACAGTGTAGACACACATGAAACATGGGTGAGCCTGGGAAGGAGACAGTCATGTGAGGGCAGAGGTTCTGTGATTCCGTTTCTGTGACATGGCCAGGAAATCTAGGGAAATAAAATAAACTGGTGCTTCCCTAAGTCTGCAGAGAGCTCGTGGGTGGGTGTGCTGCTAATAGGTATGGCCTTATTTGGTGGTGGAGGGGCAACAAAGGCGTTCTAATGTAGGAGCATGGTGATGACTGCCTAACTGCATATGCTAAAAATAATTTAGTGCTACACTTTAAATGAGTAAATTTTATGCCACAAACTATATAGCAATCTGGCTATTTTTAAGGATTAAAAAAAAAGTGTGAGACCACACTATCAGGTCACAGAGGACCTCAGGGAATGTGTGAGAAGCTATCTTCAGTTTATTTGGGGGGGGGAAAGTGGCAGCAGGGAAAAGGCAGAGACAATGAGAGGACTAGGCTGGGCAAGAGGCTGAGTGAGGGTTTGCAATGAATAAGAGCAGGTATGACGCCAAGTGCATTTGCTGCCATGAAAATAGAATTGGGGACTTTTAGGAATAAACTGGTAACTGGTTGGCTGAAGGACAGAATGGTAGATGGCAGTTTTAAGTAGACTAGAAGAAGAGAAATACCAGTCAGAGAATTGGAAATAAGCTAGAGGAATCACTGGGTTAAGGAACCCTGGGACGTTCAGGATTTCCACAGCAGCATGAATGTTTTCCAGGGCTCTCTACAGCTTTTAGGATCAGATCCTTTCAGTCTGTGCCTTACGGCTTATGAGGCGCCATATATCCCAACTTTCCTTCTCTTCTCTGTGTTCCAAGCTCTACTAGTCCCGCTCCAGTCTTTATTTGACATGCTTTCTTTATTTCCGGAAGTAAGCGCACCAATACTGACTCCTCTTTCCAGCTTGCTCAAGTGTTATTTCTTTGGGGGAAGTCACTGCAGTTTCCAGACTAGAGTGCTCCCAGACCAGGCTCCTTCTCTAGAGCAGTCTCCAGACTGGAGTGCTCCCAGACCAGGCTCTTTCTCTAGAGCAGTCTCCAGACTGGAGTGCTCCCAGACCAAGCTCCTTCTCTAGAGTAGCAACTTTCCTCATCATATATTTAATGGGATGATTATCTGATCAATGTCAACTTCCCCTGACTAGTTCACCCTGCACAATTTTCACCTCCACCCTAGTGAGCTATCTGGAACATAATAGATTTTAATAAGCATTTTCAAAACCAGGCATGGTGGGCTCATGCCTGTAATTCTAGTACTCTGGGGACTGAGCAAGGGCTGCTGTGAGTTCAGGGACAGCCTGGGATACAGAGGAAGACACTGTCTCAAAACACAAGGTGGATGGCTCCGAAGGATGATACCCAAAGTTGGCCTCCGCCTCCACATGCATATATCTGTATACACACACACACACACACACACACACACACACACACACACACACAGAGAGAGAGAGAGAGAGAGAGAGAGAGAGAGAGAGAGAAGGGGGGGAGCCCTCTGTACATGCAGACACACACACACACACAGATAAAGCCAAAGCCAAATCTTTGCAGTTAATTGTCAAGAACTCTTCCTTTTCCAAGCAGAACCTTACTATGTACCATGCCTGGGGAGAGTCACATATTCTTTCCAGAAATATTTATTGCTTGTGCGCACCACAGTGGTACAAATTTCTACTTCACGACTTCCTGTTACTAGGCAAACTCACATATTCTCACTTTTTTTTTTTTTTTGAGATGGGGGTCTCACTATGTAGCCATGGCTGTCCTGCAACTCGCTCTGTGGACCAGGCTGGCCTCAAACTCACAGAGGTCTTCCTGTTTCTGTCTCATGAGGGCTGGGATTCAAGGTGTGTGCCACCACGCCTGACAGAAACCCATATTCTTGAATTGGTAAATTGAGAGGCCTTGCCTCTTCCATGTTAGTTTATAAAATCCGGGTGAGAAACTCAAAAGGCTAAAAACCCTGACATAGAAAACTAAAGAATATTTACTGTGAATGTGTCTTCCAAGGCAGTGGTTCTCAACCTGTGGGATCAAATGACCCTTTCACAGGGTCGCATATCAGATATTTACATTATAATTCATAAAAGTAGCAAAATTACAGTTATGAAGTAGCGATGAAGTAACTTCATGGTTGGGGAACTGTATTAAAGGAAGGTTGAGAATCACTGATCTAGGAAAGCGTAACTCAGTTGACAAAGTAGATTCTTTTTAAAGAATAATCTTAATTTTATGAGTGTTTTGATCACATGTATGTCTGGTACCACTTGCATGCCCGGTGTCCTCAGAAGCCAGAAAGTGGCATCAACTTCTCTAGAGCTGCAGCTACGGATGGCTGTGAAGCACTGTATGGATGCCGGGAATTCAGCCCAGGTCTTCTGGAAGAGCAAGTGTTCTAACCACTGAGCCACCTCTCCAGGCCCTCAAAGTAAATTCTGATTAAAACATACTTCTTTCCTTCCTATTGAAAATAAATATCAGGGGCTGGAGAGATCTCAGCAGCTAAAGCTCACGAAGGATCCAAGCTCTGTGCTCAACACCCATGCATGGCAGCTCACAAACTCCTCCACCTTCATCTCTAGGGGATGGGTTCCCTCTGGCCTCCACAGACACCTGCACTTACAAGCATATACTGCTCCCCCATATACAAATAAATAAAAAGTTAAATTTAAAAAGATGCTTTGTTTCTAATATTGAAAAGATGAATGGCACAGGACAGGGAAGACTCAAGAGCGTGAAAACCACTGAGGTGCAAGTGTGTCACTATCGAAAAAAAGTCCCAAACATGGGAGCCCACTAGCAAACGGGGCACAGCACACAATGCCGACAGGACCTGTGATCTGTGAATGAGAACGGTCCCCATAGGCCCCCATGTTTGCATACTTGGCCCCCAGTTGGTGGGACTGTTCGGGAAGCCTTAGGAGATGTGGCCTTGATGGAGGAGGTGTGTCGCTAGGTGTTCTGCTTGTGGATCAAGACGGGAGCTCTCAGCTGCTTCTCGACTGCCCGCTGCCATGCGGTCACTCTGCCATCGCGGAGTTTAACGCTCTGGGAGCTTAAGCCTCATCACACTGTCTCTTTTATAGGTTTCCTTAGTCATGTGATCTTACTACAGCAACAGAAGAGAAACTAAAGCGGGGTCTGAGTTTCAATGAATGAATGTATCCAGTTTTCACATTTTCTAGTCTATGTTTTCCACTTTCCCTTCCTACCCCCTTGCCCGAGTTGGCAGCTAACTTTGGTGTGAGATAGTTTATTGCTGTGGACTATCTCTTAAAGCCTGTGTCTGGAGCGTATATTCTAGGCGTTTAGAACATTCACGTTCTTTTAAAATCCCAAATGACCTAAAGAGGGTTGCCAGCACTAAGGGGTATAGAGAAGAATGTATGTTAAAGCTAGACTATGGGGTTCTAGATGGGCCTATGACCCCAACACTGCCCAGATGCTTCATGTGCAATAGCTGTGTTCTGTGTTAGGCAGGAAGGCAATTCCCCTAGACACACAAAGAGGAGGAGTGCTAAATCGACACACAACCCTTCCCTGCTGTTTTTCTTTTGAAAAAAAAAGATTTATTTCTTTTTGTTTTATGTGTATAAGTGTTGTGTCTGCATGTATGTCTGTGTATTCCATATGCATTACTCACAAAGGCCAGAAGAGGGCGTCAGATCCCCTGGAACTGGAGTTACAATCAGTTGTAACCATATGGATGTCAGAAATCAAACTCTTGTCCTCTGGAAGAGCAGCCAGTGTTCTTAACCACTGAGTCATCTCTCCAGTCCCCCTCACTGCTATTTTCAATACATCTTATTTAGTTAAAGCTACCTGCTGGGTGGTGGTACAGGCCTTTAACCCCAGTACTCAAGCAGAGGCAGGCTGATCTCTGTGAGTTCGAGGCCAATCTGGTCTACAAAGCGAGATCCAGGACAGCCAGGGCTCCACAGAGAATCCCTGTCTTGAAAAAGCCAAACCAAACCAACCAAATAAAGGAAACCCCCAAACTACCCTATAATGATTCTCTATAGTGATTCAGAATCATCAAAACAGTTTTAATGTCTAGTAATTGTACAAAATAATGGGTTCCATTATGCTTTTCCACACATATAGCAGAATGTACTTTGAACATATTCACTCTTGATTGCCCTTCCTCATCCCTTCTCCCATTGGTCATTCCTCTTTATGAAAAAATCCCCCTTCTACCCTGACACCTTTTATAGAAGTCTATATTCGCATATGAGTGAAAACATTGAGCATCATCTGAGTCTGTCTCACCTGTTTAACTTGACAGTCTCTGGCTCTACTTATCTTCCTGTAAATATTTTACTCTTCCTGAGAGCTGAAGAAGATTCTATTGTGTATAAATGCCACATCTCATTCCCCATTCATCTGTGGATGGGCATCTAATAACCTGACTACTGTAAAGAGTGCCACAGTACCATGAGTGTACCTGGACATGGGCACACGTACTACATTTAATCCCAGCACTCAGAAGGCAGAGGCTGCCAATCTCTGTGAGTTTGAGGCCAACCAGTCTATAGAGTAGCTCCAGATGAGTTGAGTCTAATAGTGAGACCCTGCCTCAAAACATATAACCAAAAAGGTACACAGATATCTCAATATATCTACTTTTTTGTTTGTTTGTTTTGAGGCAGAGTCTCTGTGTAGCTCAGGCTGGTAAGAAACCATTCTCATTCTCTCTCTCTCTCTCTGTTTCTCTCTCTCTCTCTGTTTCTCTCTCTCTCTCTCTCTCTCTCTCTCTCTCTCTCTCTCTCTCTCTCTCTCTCTCTCCAAAGCTGGCCTGGATGTCAGGGTCCTCCTACCACAGCTTCCTGAGTGCTTGGCTTAGTTATCTCTGGCGTATTCTGATTTTAGGTTCCTTCAGGTACACAATTCAGGAGTAGACAGTATGGCAGTCTTATTTCAGGTTATTTTTTTTTTTTGGACCTCTGTGCTTATTTCCAAGGGGACTGGACTAATAACCCAATATCCATGTCAGCATTGTTGTGTTTTCACGGAGACAGCTATTCTGACTGGGGAGAGGTAAATCTCAACGCAGTTTAGATTTGCATTTCCTGGTGACAAAGCACAGTGAACTTTAAAAAAAATTTTTTTTAAAGATTTATTTTTTTTTTTTTTATGTACCTTGGGGTTTTGCCTGCATGTATGTCTGTGTGATGATGCCAGGACTGTAGTTACAGATGGGTGTGAGCTGCCATATGGGTTCTGGGAATTGAACCCGGGTCCTTTGGAAGAGCAGTCAGTGCTCTTAACCACTGAGCCATCTCCCCAGCCCCAGAAGTTCTTTTATATGTTTATTTTCCATATAAATGTCTTTTGAGACATTTCATTCAACTTATTCTCTCTCTCTCTAAGGTTTCTCTCTGTAACAGCTTTGGCTATCTTGGAAGTCGCTTTGTAGACCAGGCTTACAGAGGTCTGCCTCCCTGATTCCCAAGTGCTGGGACTCAAGGCGTGCACCACCACTGCACAGCATGATTCTTTTCCTTTGGCAGTGTTGGAACTGACCAGGGCTTTGCGCATGTCACTCAGGAACTCCACTCCACTCTTCCTGTGGATTTAAAGATGGCTGTGATTTCTAACAGTGTGTGGATGGGAGGTCTACCAGTGGGAGACTGGCCGAAGGATGCCTGCTCTGTGACGGGACATGGGGAAGATGTGAAAGACGACAGTGGCTTTGAAAAAAAGAGAGGTCACAGCCAAGCAATGTTGGTGGACTCGAGACGCTGAAAGGAACAGGCGCCCCCTGGAGTCTCCAGAGAGTTATGCACCCCTGCAGACGGACACCTCAAAGCTAGTCTAGTGAGACTGTGGTCCATCACTGGCACCAAGAATGGGAAAGAGAATGGATTTGTACTTCTAAAGGGGAAATAATGACGGAGAAAAGGAAGAAAAGGGTGAAGAGAACGGAAGGAGAAAAGAGTTACACTCTCCACGACAGACTGATTCTTTTAAAACCACAGTGCTAAACATTTACTAATGCCCACCACCCCCTTTCTGAGACAAGGTCTTTCCATGTAGGCCTGGCTGACCTGGGACTCCAGGCTGGCCTTGACTTGAAGATACCCACTTGATTCTGCATCGTGAGTCAGATTAAAGGCGTACACACCACCATGCCCTTCCAATTTATTAAAGCATTTTAAAAAACAATGGTAAGAGGGGAGAAATAATTTCAACAGGAAACTACAACATAACTTAATAGACAAACTACATAAAGTTTGACGTAAGTTTCTGAAATACAAAGATGAGAGCAATGGCTCCCAAACAGTGGATTAGCTGGATTCTGAGGGTAGGGAAAAGCCATGTCAAAAACCTCAGGGGTTAAGTGAGTGGGCTGAAGGGCACAGCAAGTATAATATACACTTATATGTCTTTTAAAAAACTTTTATTTATTTATTTATTTATTACATATACAGTGTTCTGCTTGCATGTATGCTTGCAGGCCAGAAGAGGGCGCCAGATCTCATTACAGATGGTTATGAGCCACCATGTGGTTGCTGGGAGTTGAACTCAGGACCTCTGGAAGAGCAGCCAGTGCTCTTAACCTCTGAGCCATGTCTCCAGTCCTACACTTATATTTCTAACAAATAGTAAAAGCCATCCTTTCTTCATTTTAAAATTTATTTATTTATTTATTTATCTAATTTTATTTTCGCCAGTGTAACAGATTGTAAAACACCAGAGCTTGGCAGTGCCCACCTGGATCCTGGGGTCATAGGGAGTGCACAGCTCTCCAGACAAACAGGAGGAGCCTCTTTCTTAGGAGCTATGTCAGAAGACTTAGAGAACAGTGATGACACTTTTATGTTTATGAGAAGGCACATGCTGAAACGTAGCTGCAGACGTTTATCTGGGGATCTGGAGCATACTAAAATCACTTTCCAGGGCGGAGGCACCGGGAGAGCCGCAGGATGGCATTTGGTGTTTTGGCTTTTTCTGACGACATAAAAAGGGATACTGGACAAGCTCCCCCAGTTAGGAACATCACTCTGCAGGGTTAGCGTCTGGACCCAGATACCTCCCAACACTGTAGCTCCTCCCACTGTCTGCTTCCACCCACTGACCCCTGCCAGGAAACCACTTTCTCAGTGTGAAGATAAGAAGATAGCTCAGATGATAATGAAGCCACCGCAATGGCTTTGGGAGTTTATTTTTGGGGGAACTTTTATGAAGACAGAAGCTTACATGCCCTGAGAAAATAATCAAGTATAAAAGGTAAGTAACTTAATATTCCTTGCCACAGTTTCTTTGAACATGGCTATTCTTTTTTATTACAGATGGTTCATTTTTCTAGATCACTGTATACCTCTAAGGCAAAGAGTGTGAAGCAGAACCATGAGTAGGAAGCCATTAAGATCCAGACGAGACCTCACGTCATTTTTTTTGTTTGTTCATTTTTTTCATCATTTTGAAATGACGACTCTGATTTGATTATAAGCTGTTGTGAGGACACAACAGAATTAAGCCTGAAGAACAAGGCGAAACCTCTTAGGGTTTAATGGAGAGGACTACAGAAGACACCTTGATTAAAAGCGAGTGTGCCGGGATAGCTGGGACGCACACCTGTGGTGTTCGAGAAATTAACACAATCAGCTCTAATTCCTGGAGGAACAAGTGGCACTGATTAGTGACGGGTAAAACGGGTGCCTGGTGAGAAAGCCTGGTCTCTCCTGTGCCGGAAGAAAGTCCCAGGAAGAAGAGCAACTCGAAAGGAAGTGAAAGATCTCACAGATTATTCCTAATGACTACTTCTTTGGCTGGTGGGTGGAATCTCTCTTTCTCTCTTTTTCTGCTTCTTCAACAAGAATGAAAAGAGGATTAGAAGATGTTGTCTCTCAGGAGTGAGGTGACTATGTGACTATCAAGGTTTTGTGGCATACAGGAAAAAAAAAAGACCCTTTGGGGTAGGGGCAGGTGGGGGGCGGATGACGTAGACAAGCAGGGTCAGCCGACTGTGGAACAGGAATGTCAGAATCTTTCCTTCAGCAAGAGAAGGCTGTTTAGATGCACTTGTCAGGCAGAGCGAGTATGTGGGAAGCTTAGAGTGTGTGTGTGCAAGACACACCCATTCTTCGCAGAGTGCCTGCTTAGAATGCAATGGGATTATTTATAAGGGCGAAGTTGTGGGAGTGGAGAGGTTTTGCTCCACAGTAGGAGCTAGGAAAGAAATAAGGAAGGCGAAGGCAGCAAGGGAACCTCTCTTGCCAGGCGCTCTCTATAAAGGCTTGTGGCTGTGGAGAGACTGAGGGACAACCCTCCCAATAGGCAGGAGTTTCCTTATCCAGCATGCTGCCATAAAGTACACTCACCCACTTGAGCCTGAGCCTTTGTATAGGAATGAATGCTGTTTGGAGGGCCCAAGAGCAATTAAAAGGGGTTTTCTGGAGCTTATGAGGACTTTCCGAGGCAGGAACAGGCAATGAGAACCCCTCAGTGTGAAGAAGCAGGCTGGGGGGGTACTGAAAGTTGAGTGTGTTGACACACACCTATAATCCCAGCATTTGAGGGGCTGAGGCAGGAACGTCATTGTGAATCTGAGGACAGCCTGGTCGACAGAGGGAGAGAAGGGAGGAGACAGATGATAGATAGATGATAGATGGGTAGATGGATGATGGATGGATGATAGATAGACGATGATAGATACATAGACAGACAGACAGACAGATAGATAGATAGATAGATAGATGAGGGGGGTTGAGCTTGTGGCAAAAGAAATGAAAACAAAGGTAGAAAAATATAGATGTCTCCTCTGCCTTTCTCAGAACATGAATGTTGCAGAGATGACTGGGCAAAATAAGTTTATTTCAGACATGGTATCAGTATCATTTCTTTTTTTGTTTTCGAGACAGGGTTTGTGTAACAGCTCTGGCTATCCTCGTTGGCCTTGAACTCTCAGAGATCCACCTCTGTCCCCGAGTGCTGGTATTAGGCGTGTGCCACCGGCGCCTGGCTCCAATACCTTCCTTTTCATCAGTGTTGGCCAGAAGCTGGGCTTGTTAAACCGGCCTGTAATCCTGGCTGCTCACGATTCTGAGGCAGCAGGGAATCAGAAGTTCAAGGCCAGCCTGAGCTGTGAAGTGAATTCAAGGCCAGCCTGGGCAATTTAGCAGCACTCAGTCTCGAAAACCGAAAAGAGGGCTAGGGATGTGGCTGAGCGATAAAGGACGTGTAAAAGACATGGGATCCTAGATTTAATTCCCAGTATTAAAAAACTAAAGAAAACAAAGGCAAATAAATCTGCTGAAACTTGGATCAGAACACGTCTCTGGAACTATGCTCAGTGCATCACATCAGCGCTACCCCCTCAGAGGTGGAGCCCGAACGAACATGAGTCAGGGTTCTGCGGTAAGAACACCCACCCACCATACAGCAACTATGAGTGATTTTCTGGCCACAGAGGGCAGTGTCTGCTACTATCTGTCTACAAATGGGAGGGATGAAATCCTGGAACTTAGCCAGTTTCCACCACCACAACGGTAAGATGGGGAAACCACCATTTCCAAGTCTGTGTCCTGTCGACTATAGCTTGGCCCACAGGAGGGCAGCTTGCTAGGAGCATAAGAAGGAAGCTTGGGAAATGCATCTCCTCCGTTCTGGATCTGGGCAGAGAGCTGAGCAGGAGCGGCAGCTGTGCATGAGTGTGTCCTGGAAGCATGTCTCCGAAGGACTGACCAAGAACCTCAGGGAAAGCGCCACAGTTAACACAGAAGGGAAAAGTTACAAAGTATAGAAAGCCAACTGAACTGTGGTCTGTGAAAATCAACTTAGAGCAGCGGTTCTCAGCCTCCCTAATGCTGTGACCCTCATGTTGGGGTGACCCCCACCATACAATTGTTTTATTGCTACTACATAACCATAATTCTGTGTGTGTTAGGAATCATTATGTAAATATCTGACATGCAGGAGATCTGATATGTGGCCCGGTGGAAGGGACATGCAACCCCCAAAGAGGTATCGCCCACGGGTGGAGAAGCACTGATTTAGAGGGCACGGCGCAGACCCCGAGCTCACCACACACACCAGCATCAGCCCGCAGAACTTAAGCAGAGCTATCACGAAGAAGTCCCTTACCCTCTGTAGGGCTCTGAGGCGACCCAAGCCCCAAATGGTCCAGGTCTTCTCTGCTGCCTGTTGCTTTAGGAATCCAGCCTCTCAGTTCAGTGTCCTCAGAGTCCGTTTCTAGTTGTCGGTCCCCCGCCGGAGCCTACAGACGGGGTTCAGTTCTCATGTCTGTAGACCTTGAAGGTCTCCCTCCCCATCTCCTGCCGTCCACGTCTGCCTATTTGGGAAGACACAGTCACCCACACTGCAGAGAGATGCTCAGGACTTTCTAAGAAGCAGACAGGCTAAAGACAGTAAAACTGTCTTCCTGGCCTCAGCGCAAGCCTACGAGGCAGGAGGGACATCCTGCTGCTGCTTAATATTTACTGAAAGCTCATGGAGCTTTAATATACACGAGAACAAAATGATGGCATGATCTTTAGCCTCTGGGGATTGGGCTGTCTTCATTAAAAGCTACAGCTCTGACTTCCCACAGAAGCAGAGCAACAGTTAAGGAACATCACACTGGCAGTGATTGGCTGGTGTGATTGCACTCAGCAAGTGAATTTTTCCAGCAAGATGGAGAGGCACTCCCTGTTTTCTGCTCTCAGATCCCCAAAGCACAGATTCAGCTCCACTTACGCAGTTATTACACCTTAATTATTACCATTTGCTTGCTTTTTGAGGCTGTAAATATGTGTGTGTGTATGTGTGTGTGTGTGTGTGCGTGCATGCGTGCGTGCAGCCTACTATGTGTTCAGCACAAATAAGTGCTAATATAGCTGTTGGTAGGATGAACGAATGGGATCTCTGTCTGTGAGGATGCAGAGAGTGTGTGCATATGTAGGGGTATGTGTATAGGATGCAGGGAGTATGTGCATGTGTAGGGGCATGCGTGTAGGATG